AGCTGCGGTGATCTAAGGGGAATAGTCAGTGGGTGGTTTCGTCGAATATGCGCATTGAGATCTCACCTTGGCTCGAATAAGATCCTCAACAGGAGTATTGGAGTTGCTCATGGTTGAGAGCTGTCGCTGGACGCTCGAAAAGCCGAGCGCGTATCGTCGAAACATTAGGTATGGCGGTCTGCAGATAGAGGAACGTAGCGACGTCCAGGTACAGTTTGCGCAATGTCGACTGGAACTAGATAGAGTCGACAAACGCGATACAGATGCGACTATTTAAAAAACGAATTGAGTCGATGCCAACTCGGAATTCGCGGGCGATATAAGAAGAATAGAATCTTTCCTGTCGGGATCCCAAGTGGAGCGGTAATGGATCGACAGGGCAGGACGAAAGGCTCTGGTTGGCCTTTGGCTGGTGGGAGGGAGGTGAAGTAGGTTTTTTTAATGAGGTTCCCGAGTTGTCGGTTTGTCCGCCTCTTTAAGCTTTAGGTTATCGGTCTAGCTCTGGCTATTGCTGCCCCCAAAAATAAACCACACTGTGACTGTGACTGTGACTGTAACGTGACGTGACAACTGAAAGCAGGAACAGGAAGTCAAAAGCGAGAAAATAGCAAACAAGAGACTTTGCAGGCGAGACGAGGCGAGGCGAGACGGAAAGTGAAAGGTTGGAAAGGCAAGGTGGAAGAGGCGGGACAGGACAAACTGATATACGTCTCAAGATATGGACGGGATGGGATCTAGAGGAAGCTTGGACTAGAGGTAGGCATGTATGTACAGTACATTCTATGGATCAGTACCCAAGGTATCTAAAAGTGGCGGAACACGTTCACTCTTTCGTGAAAAAACAAAAACGCATACGATGATTGTGATTTGTGAAATTGACAACTCAGGGAGCCGTTATCCCGTTTCGGTGTGAAGTCGGTGTAGGAAACAACAAGCAAAAAGGAACAAACAAGCAGAAGCAAAGACAAAAAAGCCACCAAGTCAGTCACATAGACATGTACAGCACAGCACAGTACAGTACCTATTGTAACCCAAGGTAAGGTACAGGCCCCTTCTAAACATGTTCGTTATTCCTTCTACTGTACCGTGAAAAGCGCGGGGCATCTGCGTACTGTACATTTTTACCGTCTTTCCATGAGCCAAAGTGGCGGACAAGTTTTTCGATCCATCACATCGCATCACATCCCTACAGTGCTACACCCCTGAAAGCCTCTTTTTAGCAAATGATCAGCCGCCAATCTGCGTGTCCGTCCAGACGGTTGGGTCGGGCGTCGGCTGGCCCTGACCGCCTGGCTTCTAGAGCGGTGAAGCCAGGAACAAGGGTTACGAACTACGAACCCCTGTTCTCTCTCTCTTCTCTCTCTCTCTGTCTGTCTCTGTGACTCTCTCTTTTCTGTCTGACCAGTCTGATCGTTGCAAATAGTAGAATGCCACGACAAAGCAAGAGACTCAACCTTTTACTCATGATAGACTACCAACTTACCTACCAGACTAGAACCGCTACTATACATCCCAATGACATATACCACACACCCCGGCTGCAGACTTGACAGCATACACAGTGGATCTTGTCATTGGAGCTGTGGGAGCTTTGCTGTAGGTACGGGCCCAAACAGGCGGGATCTGGTGCGATGCGATAGCGGTCTCGTGGATTGGCCCCATAGCTAAGTAAGGTAGTCAAAGTTAGGTAGCGTTAAAAGTTAAGTAAGGTCCGGGGTTTGTTTAGAGACAGGAAAAAAGAAGAAAAGACGTCAAATATGCAATCCACTCATTCACGTATTCGTCTTGGACCTGTGAGTTGTTGATGAGGCCAGCGTTCAACCATAACAGCCCAGCACAACAAACCAGTCACTATCTTCCCTGTCTCCCACTCGACTCAGGTCTCAGGACAGGAAGAAGGATCATGTATGTGTGTATGCATGTACCTACAATACTGTGCTGTACTTTCATCTCAACTGTTGGGCCTGGACGGATACCTACGTCCGTACGTACGCACATGTACAACGCTTGTGTTGCATTGCAGTCGAACGGTTCCTTAAGCCTCCCAGCTAAAAGCACACGCGGACGCATCTCTAGCTGCCGATACTCGTCCGTAAACAAAAGAGGCGCTGCTTATTGGCTTCACCTTTGAATCCTTTTCGCTCTCTGCCTCGGAAGATGTGCACCTTTACTTTCTGTTAGCTCCTCAACTGTTCGGCGCAGCTTCTAAAGGGTACGTACCTCCGGGGAAGACGTCCGTCCGTCCGGGACCGTGGGCCGAAGACTTGACCCCATTTACGTCAAAGAGCCAACCCACTTTAGCACAGGGAACGTTGGAGCTTTTGCTTCACAGCGCACGCAACTCCATTTCTAAATTCAGCTGTCGCTTTCAATTAACTCATGCTCATGCTTCAGCGGGATCGTCAATCCCTAAATCCTATCCCCTCCCCAGTGCATGCCCTGCCTCGGCAAATGCGCCGTTGAACCACACCTCAACGTAACATTCAGAGCCCAAGTCTGCACAGCAGAGACTCCGGATTGGCCTCTTCTAATTCTTGAATCCTTGTCGCCAAACCCCGGCGCTTCGGGGCCTTGAATTATTGTTCGTCATGTCGCTCCTCCGACATCTCGTCACCTCCGCCGTCCGGCGCCCGTCTGCTGCTACCTCCGCTTCCTTCATTACCCTCCGTCCCGCTGCTAGAATGCTCTCGACCTTACCACGCTTACCGCTCTTCGAAGCTGTTGCACAACATGATCCAGATTCCAAAGCTGTTATCCACTCTCTTTCCGGTCGGACCTTCAAGTATGGGGAGCTTCTAGGTGATGTTAGTCGCGCACGGGACAGGCTGGCCGAAGCTGCTGGTCGTGAGGACCTCAATGGCGAGCGCATTGCGTTCCTAGTTGAGAATAGCTATGACTACGTAGGTGAGCTCATGATGTGATCCTCGTGATATCGCATTGCGACAGCCATTGACATGCGCTTGTATAGTAACTCTCTTGGCCGCAATGGCTGCGCGATCTATCGCCGTGCCTCTATCGCCTGCATTCCCTGCGCCAGAACTACAATACATTCTCAACCAGAGTGAAGCTTCATTACTAGTCTCCTCGCCAAAGTTCGCATCCAAGGCCAAGGAAGTTCTTGCGACTGAGCTCACAACCCAACCTGCGCATGTAGAACTTCAGAAGCATCAAGGTGGGGGCAGTCATGACAAGGTGCAACTGAGTAATGCCGATTCTGGTGAAGCTGGTATGATGCTGTATACTTCGGGAACGACCAATAAACCCGTAAGTCTGCTCATGATGCTTCAATGGCTCTGTATGCTAAAGTCTCGGCTTAGAAAGGAGTACTGCTCCCCCAGTCCGTCTTGACAGCGCAATCTCGCTCCCTCGTTGAGGCCTGGAACTACTCACCCTCAGACCATCTCCTCCACGTCCTCCCGCTTCATCATATCCACGGAACTGTAAATGCCATCCTCACACCGCTCCTCGCCGGCTCAACAATCGAGTTCATGTTCCCATTCAACGCTGATGCTGTATGGAAGCGTTTCTCGGCGCCCTTTCTCGGCAATGCGTCCTCTACCGCTAAAGAGAAAATCACATTCTTCACAGTCGTACCCACGGTGTATAGCAGGCTACTCACCTCACACAAGAGTCTCCCTCGAGAGACTCAAGAAGCCGCCCGCAAAGCCATCTCGCCAGAGAACATGCGCCTCTCCATTTCTGGTTCCGCTGCACTTCCAACGCCTATCAAGACCGACTGGAAAGATCTCAGCCATGGAAATGTCCTCCTTGAGCGGTACGGTATGACCGAGGTCGGTATGGCGCTGAGCTGCGGTCTGGACTTTTCAGATCGTGTAGATGCCAGTGTTGGCTGGCCATTGCCGTCCGTTGAAGCTCGTCTAGTCGATGTGGACAACGGTAAGATTATCAAGGAAGGAGAAGAGATCGATGCTCAAGGCCGCGAGCGCTCTGGTGAGATCCAGTTAAGGGGCCCAACCATCTTCCGCGAGTACTGGCGCAATCCAACCGCAACAGCAACCGAATTCGTTGAAGATTCAGACGGAAAGGGAAAATGGTTCAAGACAGGCGACGTAGCTGTCCGCCGTCCAGTCCCTTCCGCTACTGCTTCCCAGTCATGGACACATGGCCCCCTTTACTTCATCCAAGGACGCAAGTCTGCTGATATCATCAAGACAGGGGGCGAAAAGGTAAGCGCTCTAGAAGTCGAGCGAGAGCTACTATCCCTCCCCGAGGTCGCCGAAGCAGCTGTCGTGGCTGTGCCTAGTGGGCAATGGGGTCATAAGGTCGGTGCTGTCCTGGTTCTAGATAATGACGTTGTCAAGAAGTGGTCGGCCCTCGATATGCGCAGAGCCCTCAAGGGACGATTGGCAAGTTATAAGATTCCCCAGGTCATGCGGCTTGTGGACCAAATACCCCGAAATGCTATGGGCAAGATCAACAAGAAGCAGTTGGTCAAGAGCATCTTCCCCGATGATATCAGCGGGGATGAGAGTTGATATGATCGGCTTCCATTGCGAAATTAAAAAAGTGTAAGATATGAAACTTAGAATCACCCTCATCACTCTAAGAAGCCACACTTCACCAAATCTGCGAGCATTGTTTCAGCAAGTTGGTAGCAATTGAGTATGCCTGGCAAGTATTCATATGAAGCAACTGATTACAGTTGTTTGAAAGTACAAAAATCTATTTTCCCTTCCCCTCCTTGGGTGTCCCTTTTCATACTTCGTGGATGCCACTTGGGAAACAGCCCTCCAAGCAACGCCAATAGAACATTGAGCTAAATGAAATTAAGGATAAATCGTACCCAGGCTGAATGAGCGGTTTACATATCCGGGTTCAAGCCAGTCGCCACTCAATCCTTGCTGTCCCGCTTCTGCTTCAACAACTCGTCGACCTCTCGTGAATCGCCAGATGAACGGCGTCAGGTTCAGAAACGTGAAATGGTCATTATCGGATATCGTGCTAAATCAACGTCGTGCCTCTGCGTAATCCTCGCACGTTTAAACAACGTGCTTAGCCTTGGCTCGTGTGCTGCCCGAGTGGGCACTGTCGGTGTGTCCAGAGAACTCAACCTGCTCTGACGCGGGCAGCTCGAGAACCTCCTTGAACCTGCGGCCGATAGACAGGAGAATGTCCCTACCCTTCTCACCACTGCGGCCCTTACCACCAGCGACATCGCCTTCACCTCGACCGGGGATGCTCTTTCCGATGGTACGAGTCCAGACACCAATTCGGAAGAAGGCCTTTCGAACGTTGACAACTACACCCATGACCTCGCCATCGTCCTCGTCCTCGAGGGTCTCGCCAATAGCGGCCATCATGACCTGGAGCCAGAGACGGTCTACATCGATGTTTCGCTTGTCCTTGTACTGGTAAGACCACTTGCCGCCATGCTTGTTCTGGGGGTCCTCCCACTCGGGGCGAACGCCGGCCTTGAAGAGGTGGTAGTCGGACTTGAGGGAAAGCTCGGAAACGGGTGCGACATTATTCTAAAAAATTAGCACGAGAAAGATCTGAGGTCAGGGTGATGACTCACGTAAACGCCCCAAAATTCCTCAACGGAGTCGAAGGTGATAACTTCCTTGAGGAGATCGTTCCAGTTGTCGCCCTATCACAAGTATTAGTATCCGAGTTCGGCGGTAAAAGTCTGTCGTTTCTCACCTTGCCGCTCGGAGGCTTTGTGAACCAGAGAGTCCACTTGTTCTGAAGAGGGTGCTTCACGTTGAAGTTGTCCTTGTCGTGGAAAACGGTGACGGGCTTGTCATCGTCCTTGACATCGGAAGAATCCTCCTTGCCAGCAGGGTCGACAGGGATGGTGGTGAGGTCGACCTGCTCGTCCATCTTGGGGGTGTCAGCTACAGCGGCGGCCATTTTGTTGGGCCTGTGTTTGCAGAGTCGTGGTGGAAGTTGAAGGGTTTCGTGGATGGAAGATCGCGGGGCAGAGTCGATAGAGTAGAGGCAAAAGAAGTGGAAGCAAGAGATTCAGAAGTGGGGCCAGAAGCAATGAAAATGAATGTTCAAATTTCAAAGCAATTCCTTCCTTTCGTGGAGAGTTTGTCTGCAACTTTGCACCAGGCAAGAGTCGCGAATAGCGGTAGAGTGAGAAGGAGTAGTAGTCGAATTTGACGTTGTTGGAAGGTACGAAATGCGCCTGTTGAAGTTTGGTTTGTGTCGCGAGGCGCAAGCAAAAATTCTTGGGTGCTGACCTAAAACTGCTTCACTTTGAGTTTGGCAACCGCACTGAGGTGGCTACAGGCGGTACCTGACTTCTGCCTAAAATGTTAGGCCGCATTTCTTTGCCTCTGGCTTGCTTCACCCTCTAACGTTTCAAAAGTCAAACGAACCTCATATTTCTCATTCAACTCCTTAATAGCCAGGTATTCGCATTAATTTGCAAGGGACAATGCCAGGGCTACAATGAAGCTGCAGGTATCATTGACCCTTCTCTTGTTTCAACATGGGCCTCACGTGCCAAGCAAGAGCCCTTTTTGTCCTAACTTTGTGTCTATATCCGATCCATGCTCCAGGAGCTAATGATTTGCTTCCAAGGTCCTAGTAAGTTTATCAACGATGGGAAGCTAATAACTCTAGGATATCTTTGTGCCAAGGCCAAGAAGAGGAACTGAAATCGCACAGGGTATTTCTGAGGAGAAAATATTCTCTCCTGGTTAGTGTTTCAATAATACTTGCAATGGCATTCAAGCAACATATCCACAAATCGAGCTGGTATGAACTTGACTGTCAACTAGCGTCTATCGGGCCTCGAGAGTTTAATGCAACTCAACTGCATATGACGCAGTGTTTTCAGTCACGCGCATATTCAATGTGGAAAGTGGTGTACAAATTTGCCCTTGAAAGTGAGCCGCCTATGAGCTTTTAAAGGCTCATAAGAGCCATGCTGATATGCCATTGGCTTGTCGAATTACAATGTGCTGTCATACTTGGTGTGATCTCCTGGCATGGATGAATTCGGGTTAACAGTTCAACTTCATGACCCCATTTATGCCTCCGTCTCAAACGGTCAACCACAAACCTCTGTACGATTTTGAGCCGTTCAGTCCTCGCACCATTTCTCATGTAGGCTGGGATCTAGACATTTCTCTAACCCTGGTCAAAGTGTGCCAACAGCCGCATTCGAATAAGACATATGGGGCTAAAACATCAAGGACAAAGGAACAACACAGTCAGATATAAACGGCAAAGGCGGTTTCACACAATTGTATTCATCCAGTCAGAGGCTCTGCTCTGGCCAACTTGTACCAACTTTGACATTGCTGCGTCACTTCTCCCTTGCAGCGAGGCGTTCGAGGCGCCAACGATCATCCAGAGCTACAATTAAGCCTCAATAGTCACCCACCTTGAACCACGTTCACCATTCACAGACGATCTTGGGCTGATGGAGCGGGATTTCCCTTTGACGTTTCCCAATTTCATTGGCTTTATGAATATTCCTCGTCCCACAAAGGGATTGACAACTGGTGTGCACCCGCTCCATTACGTACTATACACCATGATCTTGTCCCAAATGATCACCAGAGACACGCTAGGTGGTCCTGCAGGAGTGCAGGTACTGGCTATGCCACTCTGGAATGTGAACGCGCCTCACAACCTCGATTTCATCCCACCATCGCGACCCCACGGGTCCCTTGGTGTGTCTGCGAGCCCCTCATGCTCATGAGCCATCATCCGAGACCTGTGCTATCAACCTTGGGCTGACCAGGGTTGGCATGCCGGGCCTTTTCGTTCATAGTCGACCTGATGTCCATATATAGAAGCACCAACTTATAACAAGTCCGTCTTTCCCATCGAAGACAAAGGAGTTCCCCTCACCAACACACCCTCTCAACCCAACTCTTTGTGCCTCATATTTTACTGTGTCCAAACCTCAATCACACAATCTACTACCAACTTAAATTACCATCATGGAGCCAGAGACAGTAGCCATTTCCTTTGAGAAAGATGCTTGCAAGACAAAGGACAATGCTCCCAAAGGCAAGACTCGAAGTAGTTCTCTTTTAACAATCAGCTCGGGCTTCACCTTTCTTGCTGCCCTTCCTGGAGGATCAAGCTCCTCGTCGTCTTTCAGATCATCATCTTTTCGATAAATACCCAACATCAACTCTTGTCTTATTCGATCTGTCCTTCGTTTGCACACTCTTTTGTTTAATTGTTCGATATCGCTTACACTCTGCTGGGTCAGCTGCTTCTTTCTACATTCCTTCTCAACGTTTTAACTCAACCCGTTTCTGTTCTTTGTTATACTACATACATGATGCGGGAGCTCAGGTCGTTTAATCCTGTACGCCGCAGTCTTGACTTTGCGCCATTTTGTTCAGACATGGAATTACCAAGTAATTTTTACGAATACCACTTCAGTCGTCTTGGCGCTGAGATCTGTACTATTGTGTTATCAGCATTCTCCCCCAAAGAGGAACATCAGGCTCCTCGAACATCCCCGTGGCTAAGAGACTATCCGGGAGAATTCATCAGATATGTTGAGCTGGTAGCTCATATGGACGCACGTGGAGGGAAATGGGAGAGACTCCTTCGTGATAGGGGTGAGAGAACGAATCTCCTTGAAGCTATCATTTTCAAGGCTCTCGACAATCGAGTCTTTTCACGGCTGCTGTTTGGCGCCAGCTCCAAGCATGATGAGACATTGCATAATTCCGATGTTGCACTCATCACTGCAGAAGGTATGTGATACAACACAAGATAGGAGCAGCGCCACTAACGTTCTTGGAGGTTTCCAACGTAGTAAACTCCGAGCCCATACCAACAGAATTTGGCTTAAAAAGAGCAGAGGGGAGCCCGACTTATTTTGGAGAGAGGTCGACAAGCTAACCACCGAAGTTTACCTTCTGCTGCTCCACGTCTACGAGTTCACGGCCAGTTTTGATGGTTATGAACCCATTTCCAGAACGGAGTTGTATCAGCTACTGCACGGCGTGATTTCATACGCAGGTTGGCTCAGCGTGGGACTTCGCATGTCATCAGCCATCGTCTCGATCAACTGGCTCATGCCTGGTGAGCTGTACGCACTGAACCAAGTGAGCACCTGTCAACCGGCGTACCAGGCTTCAAAGGAGGCAGCTCAGCAGCATGATATGCGGTTACAGGAGCAGAGACCTGAAAGAAAGCAAATGAGCTCCATGGCCAGAGTCAAAATATCCGTCATTCCAGGGATCATTCAATACCGGCCATATCCCAAGGACGCGAATGTCGAGGGTATTGATTCCTACAGAATAATGGAGCCGCATGCGGTGCATTACGAAGGGTTTCTAGAAGAACACGATGAGAACAGGGCCTTCATTAGCTTGCCAGACTATATTAAGAAGCTACGGGATAGAAATTGCGCACCACGTAACGCTGCCCTGGTCATAATGGTCACTGTGTTGATCTGTTTGTGGGTTCTTTATACCACCTCGGGACAACAAACCTGGCAGAAAGCCAGGGGATGGGTGATTCCGGAACCTGAGCCTGAACCCAAGAAACCATGGTATAGACTATGGTAGTGTATCTACCTAGTATTTGTGGCCGTAACGAGGTGGGGGTCGTCGTCTTTGTTGTTGCACTTGGATTTTGGAGTTTATAAAGGTTACATCGGAATATCACAATGCAAGACTGTTAAATTCTCTATTGGCTCTTCTCAGAGAAGGACCCCTCCTCACAACTGAACTGGAAAAGTTTTCGTGACAATCATCGTCCCATGGACATTATAGTGTTTGACGTTTTACTGCAGGGTAGTTCTGGGCGAAAGCCAACAGGTTCTAGGTGCTCATTTCGCTCCCGCATCACACCAGCGGATCACATCCGCAACAGCTGATCGGCTTCCGTAGCTCAGTTGGTTAGAGCGTCGTACTAATACTTCATTCCGAGTATCCGGTAATGCGAAGGTCTCAGGTTCAAGCCCTGGCGGGAGCAGTGTCTCTCAGTGCCCATCAGCTGATTTTTTGTGTATTTTTGCCGATTTTCCTTTACTGTTGGAATCTATATCCGTCCTGATACAGTCTTTCATGGTGTTGAGTGGGATCTGGTGTGGTGTGGGCGGAAGTCGCCGTCAGAGTAGGAGCGACCTACCGGGTGGATCTGATCTTGATGATCAGATAAGATAAGGAGAAACACGATCAAATCATTACACCATTCAGATGCAATCCCTTGCCTGTGACCCCCAAATTGTGTGATGAACCCCTCACTGTTGGTGATGGAGTCTGCATTGGTTCCTCTCATCCATCGTATGGTCCACTAGATCTGCAGAACTACGACCACCGAGAGCAGTCCTAAGTTTAGAAAGCCTTAGGATAAGTTACTCTAAAGAGCCTAAAGCTTAGGATTGCCTCGCCCTAAGCATATCCTAAGACACCCCAGATGCTGTTCAGGCTTTTGACGTAGTGAAATATCGCTTTAATCCGAGTCCATTAGGTATGCTGCAGTTGTGGCTTCGATGATATTTCTTTTCGAAATGGTACTTCGGAGATTGTGGTCCTGATCATCAAGTTGCAATGCATTAGGTAGTGTTTCGGGCCTCATTCTGCACACTTGTTCCCGAGTCTAAGGTAGGTATGGGACGTTACTTGGATATCTGACTCGTGTCGAATTGGCACCCGGCTAAAGCATGCAGACAATCGAGGATCTCTTTCGATAGAACACCTCTAGTGAAAGACCGCAATTGACCTCGTTCCTTCAAATACACGACACGTCGCACCTAGACAGGCTGGGTGAGCTTTTCTGTACTAGAACTGCCGCCCGCCATCTCAGTCTTTCCACTGGAAGAACTTCGCCTTAGGCCCTTCAAGTTTCGTCCACGTTTCTGTTACAGACGATCCTCTGTCGTCTGGACGATGATTTCTGATTGGGAATAATATTGATTT